ATTTTAATTAAAAAATAAAAACAAGAGGCTGGGAAGATGGCTCAGTGGTAGAGCGCTTGCCTTGCATGTCTGTGGCCCTGGGTTCGGTTCCTCAGCACCACATAAACAAAAAGAAAAAAGCCAGAGTGGCGCTGTGGCTCAAGTGGTAGAGCGCTAACCTTGAGCTGAAGAGCTGAGGGACAGCGCCCAGTCCCAGAGTTCAGGCCCCATGACCGGCAAAAAAAAAAAAATACACTGGAACATGATAAATTATACAGGTCTCTAGACATTCACACAGTGAGGCCAAAGGAGAATATGCACAGGAACAGATCACAAAGGCTCAATAGCTATGTGCATATGGTCATATAAAATAATATTTATGAAATCAACTCCAAGAAAAGGAGTTGCTATTGTTGCTGTTTTTATTTTCTTTTCCTTTTGTTTTGTATGTTAATTTGTTTTGTCTTTGGGAGGGAAAGGGTGAACAAATATAGCAGTGGTACTCACTAGACACTATGTGGAAAATGAACTGTATAACTTGTGGGAGAGAGCAAGGGAAGGGGAGACATGGTTCAAAAAGAATTGCTCTCATTACTTGACTTATGTAAACTGTAACCATTCTGAATATCCCCTCTACAATAGCAATAAAATATTTTTTAAAAGAAAATTAAAGAAAAAAATGAAGCTAAGATCTTTGTATTAGTTAAGGTTCTCCAGAAAAGGCTGAGAACATCCAGATGTGCAGTCATCAACCTGTAAACCCAGAAGCCAATAGAATGCCAGTCAGACACTCACAAGGCTCCAGACCGCAAAATGTTTCCCATCTGTGTCCAAAGGCAGGGAAAGTCCATGTCCTTCCCATCAACTTTACTCTTAGATGAGTAGGTAAATCTTTTTGGTCTATTATGTCCATCAACTACTAAATGTGGCTCACTTACTTTAGAGATATGTGTTAGTCAAAATTTTGTCACTGTAAGAAATATCTGAAAGAAACCACTTACAGGAGGAAATAAATAATTGAAATAATTATTTTAGCTTCCAGTTTCAGAAATTTCAATCCATGGTTGGTGGGTTCTGCTGTTTCTCTCTCTCTCTCTCTTTCTCTCTCTCTCTGTGTGTGTGTGTGTGTGTGTGTGTGTGTGTGTGTGTGTGTGTTTGTGTGTGTTCTGGTCCTGAGGTTTGAACTCAGGGCCTGAGTACATTCTTGTTAATTGGATATTAGTCCCATGGGTTTTCTTGCCCTGGCTGGCTTCAAAGAATGATCCTCATATCTCAGCCTCCTGATTATCTAGGATTATAAGCATAAGCCACTGGCTCAGTTATTTCTATGCTATGGTGCAGCAGTATGTCATGTCAGATGTACATGAAAGAGCTGTTCACCTCATGGTGGCCAGGAGAGAAATGGAAAGGGACTGGGGATAAAATGTGGTCCCCAAAGACACTGTCAATAACCTACTTCCTCCAGGTAAGCTCCATTAACTACAGTTTCCATTATGCCCCCAGATAACACAACCAACTGCAAACCAAGCATTCAACAAATGGACATTTCCTACTAAAACTATAATGGAAAATAGATCTGTTTTAATTAGTCTGACACTTGAAATGTTTATGTCACCACATAACATCCTCTTATATAACCAGAATATCTGGGTATCTTTGGCCTATTCAAGTTGACAAATAAAATTAACCATCATAGGCTGAGAATATGGCTTAGGGGTAGAGTGTTTGCATAGCATGTATGAAGCCCTGGGTTTGATTCCTTAATACCACATAAACACAAAAAGCCAGAAGTGGTGCTGTGGCTCAAGTAGTAGAGTACTACTAACCTTGAGCAAAAGAAGCTCAGGGAGGACTGGAAAGTGGCTTAGTGGTAGAGTGCTTGCCTAGCATGCATGAGCCCTGGGTTTGATTGCTCAGTACCACATAAACAGAAAAAGTCAGAAATGGCACTGTGGCTCAAGTGGTAGAGTGCTAGCTTTGAGCAAAAGAAGCTCAGACCCCGAGTTTAAGCCCCAGGACTGGCAAAACAAACAAACAAACAAAAAATAAGCAACATAGTCCTCTTAGCTAACAAATCTTCCTGCTCCCTTCCATTTTTTCCTATGAACCAATCTTCCAGATAAGTCTTTTTTTTTTCTGTTGGTCATGGCCTAAGTGCTGTCCCTGAGAGCTCTTCAGCTTAAGGCAAGCACTCTACCACTTGAGCCACAGCACCACTTCCAGTTTTCTGGTGGTTAATTGGAGATAAGAGTCTCACAGATTTTCCTGCCCAGGCTAGCTTTGAACCATGATCCTCAGATATCAGCCTCCTGAGTAGCTAGGATTATAGGCATGAGCCACTGGAGCCTGGCTCAGATAAGTCTTTTAAATACTTTAACCTATATAGATATAGAAAATACATAGTGTGATAGCATACCATTTGACATAAATGGTATTATTTTTGTTACTTGTGGGGCTTGAACTTGGGGCCTGAGCGCTGTCCCTGAGCTCTTTTGTTCAAGACTAAAGTTATACCACCTTGAGCCATAGCACCACTTTCAGTTTTCTGGTAGTTAATTGTAGATAAGACTCTCAGGGACTTTCCTACCCGGGCTGTCTTTGAACAGAAATCCTCACATTTCAGCCTCCCAAGTAGCTAGGATTACAGGCATGAGTCACCAGCACCCCGGTCATAAATGGTATTCTCACATACATACCCTTTTCTGATTTGTACTTTTTATGTAGTATTATGTTTTCAAGATATATCCCTGGGCTGGAGATATAGCTCAGTGGTATAATGTTTTCATATGGTGTATGAGAAGCTGGGTTTAATAACCAATACTGCCAAAAAATAAATCTGGTTGCCAGCCATGATAATACACACCTGTAAACCAAGCATACAGGAAGTAGTAGGATTGTGAGTTTGGGGCCTTTGTGCATCGCGAGTTCCAGGCCACATTGAGCTACATAGCATACCATGTCTCAGAAAAGAAGGAAAGACAGACAGAGACAGAGACAGAGAGCGACAGAGAGACAGAGATTAACTGTTGACATAAAGGATAGTTTATGAATTTTAAGTAAATCGTAGTCCTCCATTGTATGAGTAAACTACTTTAATCATTCCTCTATTAATAGACATAAAGTTTCTTTCTTATTTGTTACTATATTGTTACAATCCTTTAATCAGCATCCTTGTAAACATGAGGGTGTGTCTTTATATAGAAATGCGATGCGTGTAATTCTTTTTTTCTTATTTTGAGTGATGGGTATTGAACTCGGGACCTTTGTTCTTCTTCATTGAACTATTCTTCCAATACCTGTGTAATTCTTTTGAGGGGAAAGAGCTAGCATAATGAAAGTTGGATGTAAAGTTTTAAGCTAGTAATTTCGGTTTGTTAATTTACTGTTTTTTATTTTAGTAATGAGGATAGAACCCTTGTCCATTGATAGGGACTTGTCCACATTAAACACTCTACCTCTGAGCTACACCACTCAGGCACTGCACATTAATACCTTAATTGTGATCAAGCCTCTGTTCGCATGTCCATTATATCCTCTTTTCTTTTTTAAGAAAAGCAAAGATTTATTAAGATGCTGTTATAAGGGAAACAATGTGGACAAGTAGACAAGAGTATATATCATGCTGAAAAGATTGTATATAGGTTTTATACCTTGGGTTAGGTTATTCTTGATTTGCTGCCTCATTGGCCGTATTGATTAGTTGTTCCTTCCTCAGATCATGATTTGAGTTTCATGTACAGAGGAACATCTTGCAATCTCGGCTTTCACTTCCGCAGTCCATTTGGCCCATTTTGCCACTTGGCTTACCTCCACATTCTATTTGGCCCATTTTGCACACTTGACTCACTTCTGCATTCTATCTGGCCCATTTCATGCCCTTGGCTCTTCCGTGTTCTACCTTTCCCTTGGTATTTTTCCATTAGCCATGACTCCTTAAAAAGTGGGGAATTCTCTTCCAAGCCCCCCCAACAGAACAACAAAACTAATTATGGTTAAAGAGGGGTAAAGATTTTTCTTCTTGTACCTGCTTCCTGCCTGGTAGAGTCATAGAGCTGACCCTGACTATATGTTTGTCATTCTGACAGAGGGTTATAGAGCAGTCTATGGGGCCACAGCGGGGTGTACTTGAAAACCAGACAATAATTGTATGGAAGCTTTGTTCTGGGAGTTAAGAGACAATGAAGGTTCAGATGGTAGAGGACAGAACCCACATTGTGGCATCATGTGTAACTTCATGGACAGGTTCCAGATACTCATCCAACAGGCAAAGGTAGTATGCCCAAAGAAGGTAAAACGGGATTTGAAAGAGAATGTAAAGATGGAAGATAATTGTCACCCATAGCTTACATGGATTCACCCAAACTCCTGGGTGAACTTTGAATGGCTCTTACAATTATTGCTAATGACATAGAAATTTTACCTAGAGCGTGATGGGGATCTATGAAGTCTTACAACAAAGGAGCTAGTATCAGCAAATGATCTGAATGGAAGTATGGAGTATGAACAAGGGGGCAAGCTTGATATTAGGAAAGTCTCTTAAGAGGCTATGACAATAGCTTAGAAAATTAATGGCAAGACCCTAGAATAAAGCTCTGACAAGATAGCTAAAAAAATGGAAGAGTCCAGAGTTATTTGGGAACTGTGATAAATACAACTTGGAAGCCATTGGATAAAGGAAGTAAACAGGAGGTATGAGTGCTTATTTCTGCCATTCACCTGGACAGGAAATATAGGAGATGCAATTGAGAGAGGGAATATATTATTGTTTTACTTTTTGGTGCTGCCAAAATAAAGTGTAAACACTTTAGCATAGTATTCAAGGTCCTCCATGATCTGGCTCCAAATTACATCTCCACATTTGTCTGAAATCAGTCTCCAGTAGAGTTTTTCCCGTTTCAGATTACTAAAAGCTGTCCTTTTGGACTGAGAAACTATTTTCCTAAATCTCTGCCTCCTCCTTCACTTATTTGAATGTCAAGAACATGCCAAAGTATAGCAGAGAAAAGAGAAACAGAAACGAGTAATGGAAACGTGCAATGAATACATGTCTGTACGTACATCTATATGTACATATAATATAAATATACACTCATTTAAGCTGTATTCTTGTTAAAAAATAACCCAGTAAATTATTCGTCTGTGCCAGGCACCAGTGGCTCACATCTGTAATCCTAGGTACTCAGGAGGCTGAGATCGGAGGATCACGGTTCAAAGCGAGCCCAGGCAGGAAAGTCCATGAGACTCTAATTTCCAATACACCACCAGAAAACCAGAAGTGGCGCTGTGGCTCGAGTGGTAGAGCACTAGCCTTGAACTAAAGAGCTGAGGGACAGCTCCCAGGCCCAGAGTTCAAGGCCTACGACTGACAAAAAAAAAAAAAGTTTGTCTGTGTCCATGCCTCTTTGTAATATAATTCTGTTGCTTCTCCTATCCGAAGGTGAAGTGTGTTTCTCTTCCCATTGAAGCTTGGCTGAATGACCAAGTAGCTTGCTTTGACCCATAAAATGCAGTCAATATGACATCCTGAGGTTTATGAGCCGAGGGAGGGCTCAGGAGAACTAGCAGCTTCTGCTTTTGACATTGAAACCCAACTTCCTATAAAGAAGTCCAGGTTACCCTGTCAGAAAGGGGCCATATGAACCAGGTGTTAGGCTCTCCCGTCTGTAATCCTAGCTACTGAGGTTTCTGACATAAGAGGATCACTCTTTGAAGCCCACCTGGGCATGAAAGCTCATAAGATTCTGATCTCCAATTAAACACTAAAAAGTCAGCCTTGAGGGGCTGGGAAGGTGGCTCAGTGGTAGAGCGCTTGCCTTGCATGCATGAGGCCCTGGGTTTGATTCCTCAGCACCACATAAGCAAGAAGAAAAAAAGCTGGAAGTGGCGCTGTGGCTCAAGTGGTAGAGTGCTAGCCTTGAGCTGAAGAACTGAAGAACAGTGCCCAGGCCCAGAGTTCAGGCCCCACAACCGGACCCAAAAAAATAAAGTCAGCCTTGAGCAAAAAGCTCAGGGACAGTACCTAAGCCCTGAGTTCAAGCCCCAGGACTGGCACCAAAATTTTTTAAAAAAGAAGAGTGGAGATAGTGGCCCAAATTTGACAGTTTCCATTGAACTTTGCCTCCAGATTATCTACCAGCTGAATGGAGTTAGTAAAGACTGGCAGAACTGCATACCCAACCCATGTATAGATTTCTAAGAAGCTCTTCCCAAATTTACTTGCTTTCCTAATGGGTAGGTTCATGTTGACTTTCCATTTTGCTGTTTGCTTTGATGCTCATTTATTTTTTTAAAAAATCATACATTTACTGAGTTCCTAGAATATGCCAGCCACTTGGGACTTGGAAAAAGTAAGCCATAAATTTTTACCTTCTGGAACTTTATAGTTTATTTCATGAGATTTAAAAATAGTAACAAATTACAATACACCACATTTGGCCTCTGAGGAAGGGGAGATTTTCATATGACTATTACTATATGAGACAAAGGTAGCTAGGTGTGGTAGCTCATCTGGAATACTAGCTACTAGGTGTAGAAATCAGGGGAACAGGCCAGCACAAACTCCATATAAGACTTCATCTTACTCAATGGTTGGGTACATTGGTGCATAGCTGTTATCCAAACTATGGTAGAAAAACATAATGGCTACATGCGGTGGTATGTGACTGTTATCCCCAATGACATGAGGAAGCACAGGTAGGAAGATCACAGCATATAGTGAGACCTTGCCTCAAAAAAAGAAAAGAAAGGGGCTGGGAAGGTGGCTCAGTGGTAGAGCGCTTGTCTTGCATGCATGAGGCCCTGGGTTCAATTCCCCAGCACCACATAAGCAAAAAAAGAAAAAAAGCCGGAAGTGGCGCTGTGGCTCATGTGGTAGAGCGCTAGCCTTGAGCTGAAGAGCTGAGGGACAGCGCCCAGGCCCAGAATTCAGGCCCCACGACTGGACCCCCCCACCAAAAAAAAAGAAAAAAAAGGAAAGAAATCCTAGATACTTAGGAGGCTGAGATCTGAGGATCATAGTTCAAAACCAGCCTGGGCAGGAAAGTCCATGAGACTCTTATCTCCAATAAACTACTAGAAAACCGGAACTGGCGCTGTGGCTTAAGTGATAGAGCACTTGCCTTGAGCTGAAGAGCTCAGGGATAGGACATCCCCCCACCTGCCAAAAAAGGAGAAAGGCAACAACAATATTTATTTTCATAAAGACCTTTCAAGATCTTTCATTTGGCCTAAGCTTGACAACTGACATCTGTAATCCCAGCACTCTAGAGTATGGCATGAAGATGTTGAGTTAAAGCGAATTTCTGTCCAAAGATCACCATAGTTTCCTCATACTTTTATGAAAATGTACAATTTTGGAATAAAGCTATTAAATAGGCATTAATGCAAGTTGCTGGTAGTTCACATCTGTATAACTACTAAGGAAGATTCTGATTTGAAGCCACCCAGGGCAGTAAAGCCCATGAGACCCCTATCTCCAATTAACCACCAAAAATGGAGCTGTGGCTCAAGTGATAGCCTTGAGAAAAAGAAGCTCAGGGACAATGCCCAGGCTCTGAGTGCAAGCGCCAGGACCCGCACAAAATAAATAAACACTTAGTAGGCATTAAAAAGTATGGTTGTGGGCTGGAAAGGTGGCTCAGTGGTAGAGCGTTTGCCTTGCATGCCTAAGGCCCTGGGTTCGATTCCTCAGCACCACATAAGCAAAAAGAAAAAAGCTGGAAGTGGCGCTGTGGCTCAACTGGTAGAGCACTAGTCTTGAGCTGAAGAGCTGAGGGACAGCGCCCAGGACCAGAGTTCAGGCCCCATGACTGGAAAAAAAAAAAAGTATGGTTGTGGGCTGGGGAGTTGGCTCAGTGGTAGAGTGCTTGCCTTGCATGCATGAGGCCCTGGGTTTGATTCCTCAGCACCACATAAGAAAAAAGCTGGAGGGCCAGGCGCTGGTGGCTCACGCCTGTAACCCTAGCTACTCAGGAGGCTGAGATCTGAGGATCGCGGTTCAAAGCCAGCCCGGGCAGGAAAGACCGTGAGACTCCTATCTCCAATAA